CGTGCCTTTGTTCTTCACCCCCTCCCTCAGAAGTATGGCGGCCAGGACAGAGCCCCAGCGAAGATGAACTACTACTACTACTACTACTACTACTACTACTACTACTACTACTACTACTACTACTACTACTACTACTACTACTACTACCACTACTACTACTACTACTACTACTACTACTACTACTACTACTACTACTACTATTACTACTACGACTACTACTAAGTGTTAGAAAATAGTGCATGGGGAAGCATAAAATTTGTGATCTACCATGGGAAGAAACGGCAAGCTGTATTTCTTGGATTTTTTCGTGCATGAACAAGAAAACGGTTTCAGGTGAGGGTGGAGTCAGCAAAACCCAACCGGTTAGTTGTCCAAAAATCTACCTTTTTATCTTATTTAGGTAGGTGCGGCTCATAGCGGTTTGCCTGCCAAAAGATCGCGAAAGGAGTTATGCCGCGCGCGGCGTCACTGACTTCAAAGTTGCCCGTACCGGTCCCGAAGTTAGGATTAGGGCTACGGTTAGGGTTGGTGTCAGGAGTTAGGCTATTTTTAGGGCTAGGGTTGCCAGACTCGGTTTATAGTATGTTGCAAAGAAGATGAACGTGTGATCACCGGGACAGTACATGTACTAGTCTCAGCTTTCGGTTGCAACAAGAACCTGTGACTTGCAAATTCGCTTCCATTCTTTAAAGTTTATATTAGGGGTTGAAGCTATGGTTGGGGGGTTTGCTTTAGTATAAGGGTTGGGACTGTGTTTGGAGTTTCACAGCCTGGACCATGACTACGGTTATATTAGAGTTTTCCTTTACCGTCTACAGGTTAAGGGTCAGGGGGTACTTATTACAGGCATGACCACGGCTGGCATTAGCGCTGTAAGTTAACTACAGTTTCATTCAGAAACTAGCTCACCCAGATGCCAACCGGAAAAAATAGTAAATTCACCTTTTGAATTTCACTTTAATTTACGAAAGGGAGCTTATTATTGCGTTTATTGATTCCAGCCGCTAGAATTTATTCCCCAGCAATCGTAGGTTTAGTAACACTTTTCCCTAAAGACATTACTTTTAGACTAGGGTATCCTAAGCATTTTATCGATAAATACCGCCAAATTAGACGGGAAAGTCGAGTAGAAATGTCAGCTCGTTTCGTTCTGTTCGTCCTGTCTGCACATGTTTGGGGAAAAGTCCATTAGGCACTTTAATCGACATCCTTTGCTTATATTTCATTGTTATCGTTGAGGTATTTGTCGTTCTCAACCTGCTATGCCCCGACCGTTTACTGGAAAGACTGAGGAGTTGAATGCGGATCCAATTGGGCCTAGGGTTGGGCTGTATCTGACCAAGTACGACATACAGGCCCCAGACGACTTATCCAGGTTACTTTCCGTAGTCAGTAATACCTCTCCCTCATATAATTTTCAGGTATCCTCACAGCACCGTCTAACACCATGTTGTCTATCCGGAAGGATTTTCCTAGGGTTATACTACTTCGTTGCTGATGAGCATTTATTTCAAATGGGTGGGTGGCTTGCTTCTGCAATTTGCAGATAAGGTGTAGTGGAAAACGGTTCATATAATGTGACTAACGCTTCAGAAAAGGCAACATCAGCGACCCCTTCGCTGGATGACGCATGCTTTTCTCACGTCTGGCAGTGAGTCGACCTCGCAGATGGGGTCCTTGTAAGTTAAATCACTCCACTCGACCTCTGACTCATGGATTCATTCGGTGCAAAACCTGTCAAGGGTAAAGTGGGCATGGATTAGACGACATTTAGTCCGTTCGGTCAACAGCATATCTCCAGCGATTCCGATGGTGACGCTACTATTAACAATGAGAGTACAAAGAGTACTGTCTTCCACACTTATTCCTCAGTTAATAATGCCCACTCATCGAATTACTCTGAGTACATGTGTACCGCTGTGCTGGCATGTCACACCGATGCGAGTAAGAGGCTACGCCAACACGGAGGCAGCAAGAATGTGGTTTGATCATAAATGGGCGCACGCACACCCACTCATGTAAACACTGACTTGACGTAACAGGTCGTTGAGAGTGCAAATATTTGTTAAACAGATAGAACAGGCGTGTCTGTGTGTGTGCGCGGATGTTTGGTTGCATTGAAAGGGAATATGGTCGTTGACACAAAGTTGTAATGCTGGAGCCAGTGGCGCTGGACTGTTCTACAGTCAGCTGTCCAGACAATCCAGGTGACGCCATTTCCAAGGCCCAGTCGTCCGGCACTAAACTGTGACGTCACTGATCGGCAGAAATGGTCTCCCATTTTGCCCCTATCACTCATTGAAGTCGACAGTAGGGACTGTTATTCAAACCATGTAACTGTATGTGGTTCGAGGTTAAAATACAAGGGCCATTGAGAGTACCGACGAAGTCCAGGGAAAATGGAATGGTCATTTCTGGCTTGTTGACCGTCACCAGCCAGTCAAACCCAACCCCAGGCTTGCCACCTCCGCGTTCTGTTGGTTGGAAGTCTAAGGCTCTAACCACTGAACTACGGGCCCGTTGTCATGTCGGTTGCGATTGCCTGCGGGGTTCTAGATCGAGCCCCAAGCTATAACTTGACGAGTAGGTCTCCTAGTGCGATCGATGTCCACCCTATCGTAAGAAGATCTAAGCACCCGTCGAGTACTTTGTCCTCTTACCGATTGGACTTGCGGTTATCTAATTTTTATGTTTGACAGCAAGTAGACTAAATGGCACAAAATCCTAAGTTTAATGGACGTTTGCCCTCGGTGACTTCAACGTCCCCGTGGACACTGACCACGTCAGCTGAGAATGAGGGTTTGTTCATCACTGAGAAGACCACTACAATTACAGAAGATTCTAGCGTCCCCTACCATTGTATATTCCCGATCGAAACCGACAGGACAACGGGCTTGTGGTCCAGTGGTTAGAGGCGGGGACTTCTAACTAACAGGTCACGAGTTCGAGCCTCGGGTGTTCCACACTTCGGAGTTGGGTATGACTGGCTGATGACGGCTACTAAGCCAGAAATGGCCGTTTCAGTCTCCCTTGTCTTTGTCGGTAATAACATACTGCCTATATCATGCGCCGCTGTGCGGCTGTTGGTTGGGCTCAAGAGAGAGCCCATAAGGCACAACGGAAAGAGTGAGTTCCGTAAGAACGATCGGTGAGCGCCCCCTACCATAGAAGATTCCCTCGCAGGGGATTTACTAAAAACGCCCGCAGAACCCTTCTTCGGTTTCCCAGTCGCAAGACGACAGCATGAATGCATCCACGATCCCAACAACGGAAGGTGGTTGAATTACGTGCTCGTCAGGAGGTGAGATCACCGTGGGCTTGCTGTGACAAGGGAGGAGGGCGTTTCTGATCGACCATCGCGCAGTTGTCCGAATTAGGAGGCTGTAAATCCAACCGCCTAAAACAAGCCGGCATTCTTCCGACTCGTCGCCAAGTCAGACAGGGACTGCGGGTGATCAAAAAATAACCACCTGACGACCGAGGTAGACGATATCTAAGGAAAGGTAGCGCCAGATTATGGGGTAGCGATAGGGCGTAGGACTCCCGAGTAGATGGTAACTCCAAAAATATACCCTAATATTCAGTGTGACTGTAAAAATCACTTATCATTCACCGTTCCCGTCATTTGAAATTTCATTCGCTTCCTCACTAAATGTAAATCTTCCGGCGGCGCTTTACTGAAGGTCCGTTAATTTCGAAAATTGCTTTTTGCTTATTTCCTACTTATCGCGCTCACTTTGTTTTGCTAAATGACAGCGTACGATAAGACTTTCGGTAGAAACTTATGTATTTTGTGTGTTCTTCTTTCTCTCCGTCCTGTGTATTTCCCCACCCGTAAAAACCCCTCTTCCACCATCCAACGTATGACACAGACCATAGTCTAACTCAAGTTATTTGGGGAGTCCTACACCCTATCGTTGTCAATTAAGGACTTTTTTCGCGTATAGGAGGACAAACTACGACTTCAAACCAAGTGAGACTGCATCCCCCCTCCGACCAGCTGAGTAAAACTGCTGTCAGAGAAATCGTGGATACTGGATCACTGGGCCGATCACTGCAAGGGCGTTATAAGTGCATCAATTAAAATCTGCAAGAAAGCCATGAACAGGTCTCTGTCAGATGAAGACCAACGTTGACCTTGACCGGCTGCCGTCCCTGTAGGAGAAAATCGCAGAAGCGCAGCAGATATCCGGTGAAAACTCCCCCGGTAACGGTAGGGTGTAGGACCCCATGTGGGTGGCAACTCCAAAATGTGCACTAAACTTCAGTCCGTTCTTTCTGAGAGTTGTTTTTTGTTTATATTTTAGCTATCACGCTCACTTTGTTTGCCCAAATGGCAGCGTACGTTAAGACTTTCGACAGAAGTCTATCCATTTTCTGTGTCTTCTTGCATCGCACCTGCTCTCCGTCCTGCGTGTGGCCTCGCACGTAAAACCCCTTCCACCACTCTTCAACCTATGACATGGTCCACAGGCTGGCTCAAGTTATTTGGGGTCTTATATCCTACCGTTGCCATGTGTAACTTGCGATAAGCCGGGAGATTATAACACCACGACTGTAAAAGTTGAGCTCATACAGTAGAAACCACAAGGGAAAAGCTGAAAGATTCAAGTACAGTTGGACGCCGAACGACATAACCTGGCCATTCAAGTTGATGTAACCGCCGTTACTGGTTGAGTGGAGTAATCTGCCACTATCGATTAATGGTCCCAGTGCGATATAGTGGAAATGTATGATGCCATTTATCACACAGTTACGTCTTCGCTCCATTTTGAATACACTGGCGGTGGAGCTGCGTCTGCGAGGATTGAAATACTTGATCCACCGCCCTTGACATGCACGTTGAAAGTCCTTTTTCGACAGAACAGAGTTTGATACTTGCGTATGGATACCGCAAAATACCGGCGGTTCTGCCCTGAACTCCAGGTAGGGTTGAGGTTAGTGTTAGGGTTGCGGAAAGTGTTGGGACATAAGAATGGAGACCCGCTTGTATTTGGCTCTTCCTGTCCTAAGTCCTGTGTCCAAAACAAAACGAGTTCTACCGCGGTTGCTCATATAGTTTAGTAACGGTGGGGTGTAGGACCCAACGTAGGTGGCAACTCCAACATGTACACTAAAATTCAGTGCGACTGCAAACATCACTTATTATTCACCGTTCTTATTGGTTGAAATTTCCTTCGTTTCGTGACCGAATATGGACTTGCCAGCGGCGGTTTATTTAA